CAAGATTGGTGGAGAACACATCCACATGCTGGGAGGGCTCACCCCAAACTCCAAAGGGACAGAAACCCCTGTGCTCGGGACCCTTCTGGACTTCACCCTATGTATCTCTTCATCTGATACGCCTTAATATCCTTTGTAATAAACCAGTACTAATCTAGTAAGTAAGCTGTTTTCCTGAGTTCTGAGAGCTTCTCCAAAATTTGGTCAAATCCAAAGAGGGCATAGTGGGAACCTCCTATTTATAGCCAGTAGGCAAAAGTGCAGGTGACAACCTGAACTTGAAACTGGCATCTGGGGGGGGGGGGGCACTCGTGTGGGACTGAACCCTAACCTGTGATATCTGACGCTATCTCCAGGTAGATCATGTAGGAAGAGAATTAAACTGTAGAATACCCAGATGGTATCACAGAATCACTTGGTGTGGGAAAACTACCGCACATCTGGTGACCAGAAGTGCGCAAAGTGAAGACAGTACTGGGAGTGGAGGAGACACACAGCACGGTGTTTTTCCATTAGAGATGTACTCTGAAAACCATGTTAAGATCATTTAAAAATGGATTCAGATAATGAAAAAAACATGGATGTAGAAGATACATTATGAAATGAAATTGCTTCATGAACGTGAGGGTGCAAGAAAGGCAGTACTATTATATTATTTCATATAAAACATGATCTGTAAATACGTTGGTAGATAAACCATTTTAAAAAGGTATATAATTCTTCTCATTTTTTTGGTCTTCTCATTGGAAATTGAGGACCCACCTTATACACACATGATTATATGCTTTACAAACCACTTCACTTCTCCCTAGAACACAGTTTATTGGACTTTGGTATAAAGTATTTGTTTTAATTCTTTAAAAAAGGGTCATTAAGAACCATATTAAAGAAACATTTCCTTTTGATTTCTAAGTTTATTTTTCCCTTTTAGTTTTATGGCAACCATAGCTGGCTTTGAAAAATGTAAACATATAGTCAGTCTCGTTGAAACAAATACCATTATCACAAAATCTCTTTATAATAAAATATTACCAAGCAAGCTTAGTTTGGACTAATAGTACAAACGAATTTAGGTAAATGTCTGGAAATGGTTTTAACAAGACATGACATTTATTTCTAATTGGCTAATAAGAAAAGACCAGCACAATATCAAAACATGCAAATTAAATGGGTCTCTGACTGAAATAAATCAAGATTGAGTTCAAGGAAATGAGTTCAGGTACTTAAAAATTAGTATGTTTTCCATGGTTGAGTTTTAATGAGGATTTGGGCCTGTCAAAGAATCATATAGAACCAGTATCCTCTCTTAGAGTAGTAGTAAGAGGTCATGTAGAATCTGTAACAAATTTAAGAGGTGACAGCAGCCCTAGAGCACAAAGATGTAATTCCCCAGGCCTCTGAGACCCTCAGCCACCTTCCTCTGGAGTCCCGGGACCCAACCTGCTTCTAGGTACTTTGTGCAGCGTTCCTCTCCAAACTGGCTCCAGAAGAACAACACGACCCAGTATCTCACAATCCCACCCTCCTTCCCAGGAGTTATCTCACTGTTACACTCCCAGCCATCAAGGATTTGCATAAATACTTGTTAAGAAAAGAAAGAAAAAAAAGATAAAAGAATGGGAGTAATACAGAATTAAGAGGTTTCCAAAGATCCAAGAAAATGTGATCCATTATCGTATTGTTTCTTTTGACTTTGGAGTCTGAGGTTGTAGTCACTCCATTTCTTTGTAGATCTAGGGGAAAGATGCTCACTTCCCCTCCTTACCCTCTGAGGGATATCAAGTGGCAGCTGTCTCTTGGACTCTTCCCTGGGTCCCCCTATAAGCAGGTTTTCTAAGTCTGTGATGAAAAGTTTTGACACACATGCGTGCACCCCTGCACACACACGCATACACACTCCCACCCTTCACGCACATAGAAGAAAACTGAGACGCTGATCGTCGGAGACCCATCTGTGCAGCCTGGGCAGAATCATGACAAGACTCACGTCTCCCAGTCCCCATACCAGTGACATTCCATTCTGACACTCCGATAAATCATTCTTTCAAATCCTCCATCTGAGTACCAACAGCTGCTTTACTGCACCAGCTTTCCTGTGAACAAACTCAAGTGGAATGGATTCAAGCCATTCAAGTTCCCCCCCCCAGAACCCCAACAACTGAGGAAGATGACAGAGGTCAAAAGCGGGGGGCAGCTAAGCTGAGTGATCAAGGCCTCTGTGCTTGCTTGTCTCTCTTTTCTCTCTTAACCTTCCCATATTAAGACGTATTTGTGTTCATTTCAAGAGGCAGAAGTGCTATAATCCCCAACCCCTGAGCTCCCGAACTAGGCTCAGTTGGCAAATGGACTGCTTCTACCCATGCACAGAACACAGCTTGATCTTTAAGCTGCAGGAGGTGGTTTGAAGAGCTCTGATATTTCTTTGGTAGATACTTGTAAACATATAATTAAAATTAGTATCTCTAGAAACAAAACTAATCTTATCAAATTAATACATTTTAAAACACCAAAACTTGGTTAAGAAGCGTCTTTAATAATCAACCTCACAGGTCAATAAAGGAGCTATAAATACATAATTTACTATCACCTGACAGTTGTGAAACTTGTGTGGTTTTAAAGAAATGTTTACTGTTACCAGTTGCTTATTCCTGGCTCTACAGGGAAACAGTTATAGATCTAAAAAGACCTAATCAATTATAACCAAAGATTTGGTGTAGGTATAGGGAGGGAATGCTAGAGAGGTGCAGGAAACAGAGGACTGGCTAGTCCATAAAGTAACTAAGTAAAATCAAATTCACTCATCCAACTGCTTGGATACTTTCTTCCTCTTTTGCTCGAGAAGACCCGGGTTGAGAATGCTGGCTAGCAATGAATGTGTTTCGCATCCTCCTGGGACTCAGAATAAACTCTTGGAAAAAGGAATTCACACCATGACTTAAGTCCTTTTTCTATTCCTCATCCTCACCTCAAGAAACTAGAAAACTTAGTCTATTGAGTTCATTAAAGCTAAAGTCTTCCACTCAAAAGCATCAAATTAGGTCAAGGGTACAAGACAAGAAGCCCAGTTTCTAATCTCTTTAGAGCACCACATTTTCATCTGCTAGAAAGAATTACTTAAGCCACAAACAAGGATCAGAAAACTGGATTCAGGGGTGCCTGGGTGGCTCAGTCCATTAAAAGTCTGCCTTTGACTCAGGTCATGGTCTCAGGGTCCTGGGATTGAGCCCCTCTTCGGGCTCCCTGCCCAGGGGGAAGTCTGTTTCTCCCTCTGCCTGCCGCTCCCCGCCTTGTGCTCTTTCTCTAATAAATAAATAAAATCTTAAAAAAGAAAACTGGATTCAGATTTTTAAGGTAAACCCAACTAGTAAAAAAGTAAATACAATGGACTGGGAAAGGCGGAGCAATATGGTAACTGGGTCAGAGACAGGATATAACTAAAAATCAGAAATATGACTTAAAAGATTAGACGTGGTTTACACCCCAACAATATAACCCACTCTTAGGTATTCAGGTTAATAGGAAATGTACAGATTCAAGACTGAAAGCTGCCACATTACCCCGTTTTAGGCATAGATCTAAACATAGCTGAATGGGGATAAAATGCCCTCCATGTAAGAACTTAGGTAAAAACGCTGTTTATCAGAGTAAAAGCAATGTTAAACTGCTTGCTGCTTGAAGGTGGAAATAACAGCAACCATGTCCCTATGCGGGTAAGAACCAGTGTGCGCAGCCTTCTGGAACCTAGCCCATGTACAAGAAGAGGAGCTTCTATTAAGATCAACCTGAGAGGGCGCCTGGGTGGCTCAGTTGGTTAAGCGATTGCCTTCGGCTCAGGTCCTGATCCTGGAGTCCCGGGATCGAGTCCCGCATCGGGCTCCCTGCTCGGCAGGGAGTCTGCTTCTCCTTCTGACCCTCCCCCCTCTCATGTGCTCTCTCTCTCCTCTCATCTTCTCTCTCAAATAAATAAAAAAAATCTTAAAAAAAAAAAAAAAAAAAAAAAAGATCAACCTGAGAAATGTATACTAGTGGTCTACCACCAGCTGGATGACCTCGGGAAGTGTACTTAAGTTAGAGTCTTAGTTTCTTATTTATAAAAATTATTTATAGAAATTATTTTACCTATCTCATGGGGTCATTGTAAGTATTAGGTGAGATCATTTATAAAGAGGACCTAACCCACAACTCTTTACTGAGGATGTTTTGTTCTTATTCTCTGTAAAGACAAACCAAGTTGTTAACACTACAGCAGAAGAAGACGGGGTTAATCTTTTGAGGTTTTCTTGTTGGTTTTGTTTTCATCAAAGAACTGTCATGATAAAGAACCTGAGCAAAGTTAATTATTATAAAATTGAACGTTATACTTACTATGAACCTAAAGCTGCTCACTGGATTGTATAAGTTTGAGTGCAGAGTATTAAAAATATGTGTCTTTGTTTTTATATGGCAAAATTTTCTGTGTGCTCCTCTTTGGAAAGGGTATTCCCATCAGTTACAAACTACTGCTCCAAATGAGATAATTTAGATCAAGGTCATTACCAACCCAGACGACCAAACCTGAAAAATGCTGTTCTCACGTCAGAGACCTTGAAGGAAGAATGCTCTAATGGGATTGAAATACCTTGTAAAGAATTACAACATGAACAGCTCAAGAAATCCTAATTTGTAAAAGGTCACAGAGTTACAAAAAGCATCGCTCATTTCAGCTAATTAAATGAAATTTTAGTTAAACGACACCTTTAAATATTGGTATTGCAGCTGCGAGTGCATTTAAATAGCATTTACGCAGATATAATTAGCACAATTAAACATGGGTAGAAGTGGAAACACCATTCTTAATTATATTGATATAATCAGTTTTATTAATGCTTTATAGCAACAAAAGTGACATCTGACAGTGGCACACAATTCACGACTGAACCTAATATTAAGCATTTTAGCATATTAAGGAGTCTAAAGCTAGGTAATTGGGGAAAGAAAGAAATCAAATAATGCGTGCCTACCTGTGACGATCCCATAGTTGGGAGGTTCGAGAATTACTCCGTAAAACTGGATGATGTTTCTGTGACTGAGGACACTGAGTATTTCTGCCTGTACGAAAATCAAATACAAAGTTACGTAAGATTTCACATTTATAAAAGTCTCATAAAAGAGGTTTCCCATTCAGTTTCCTTTTACATACATTTACAAAGATAGATATGTGCTCAACAAGTATGCGATACTGATAGAACTGTCTTTAGCAGCCTTCTTAAAAGTTTAAGAATTTTGATTGAAGCTTTCTGACAATTTAAAAAGGAAATGGGGGGGGTGTCTGGGTGGCTCAGTCGTTGAGCGTCTGCCTTCGGCTCAGGTCATAATCCCAGGGTCCTGGGATCGAGTCCCGCATTGGGCTCCCTGCTCCGTGGGAAGCCTGCTTCTCCTTCTCCCACGCCCCCGCTTGTGTTCCCCTCTCTCGCTGTATCTCTCGCTGTCAAATAAATAAAATCTTTAAAAAGAAATAAAAAAATAAAAAATAAAAAGGAAATGGGATGAAGGTGAAGCAGTAGAGGTACGTCCTAGCAAGCCAGCAGGACAGGAAGCGAGGAGGGTGGCGGCGAGGCGAGAGGCCATAGCTGTTTACAGAAAAGCCCTCTTCCTAATAGTTGAATATGTTTTTTCTGCATCGTGTCTCTTGCGGGAGACTCAAAACTGAACTTCTACCAGTTGGATGAGTAGTCATGACAAAATTAATGGAGGATTTCTTAACTATTACTGAAACAGGTTCAGGTAATACCCATTTATATTATTTATCTAATCATTCAAAATATATCCTTGCTCTTGTACTGTATGCAGCAAAGTGGTGGGTTCCTGCCCTTCAGTAGTGATTTGGGAAGTAGGGGAGCCATGCTTTATATTTGAAATGTATTAAATACCAGAACACTCTCTTGCAGAGTGACATCATAAAAAACATGAAACTTAATTTTTTAAATGAAAAAACAGAGATACTGCAGTGTATATCTGCTAATGTCTATAAGAAGAGCATTCTCTAAATTAACTAAGTCATATGTACTTGTTACTTTTGTGGAGATAAAATATGGCTAATCAGGAATTATAAATACAATTAGATACAAAATCATTTAGGTGCAAAAAAAATTTGTTTTTAAATGAAAAGCATGTTATTGTAAGTAAATAAATAGGAGATTTATAATTCCCCATTCCAGAAAGGGTATTCAGAAGGTAAGCAAATAAGGAAAAATGGAACAGGGTTTGGTTCGAAAGGGGACTCCCCTTTGGGAATCTGCTCAATGTAAATTAGTATTATTTGTTACAAATTTTTTGTCATAGGATATGAATCGAGATTTCATTAAAAACACTGTGAAATTTGTTTTTAAGGTGGTATAACTAAGTACAAAAACAGAAGTTTAAGGGTTGGCATGGGGTCAGTATGGAATCAAGAGAAAGGAAAATTATCATTGACTGGATGAGACGTTTATCAAAGCTTCTTTGCTAGTGTTCTTCTTTTAGTGATGCAGGTGCTGAAGGGGGCTATCAAAACACTTCTTTCACACTCCCTGAGTGCCTACTGTGTGCAGAGGTTCTAGTTCTATGTTCATCAAACAACTTTCTTCCCATAGTTTAGTTTTCCAAGTAAAAAGAAAATGCATTCACTGAGCAAGACAATTATTCATCAGTATGGCAATTCTATTCTTATTAAGAAATAATAAATGAACTTTGTTCTTAAAACAGAGTTCAGGTGAGGGACACCTGGGTGGCTCAGTCGGTTAAGCATCTGCCTTCAGCTCGGGTCATGATCCTGGGGTTCCTGGGATGGAGCCCTGAGTAGGGCTCCCTGCCCAGCGGGGAGTTTGCTTCTCCCTCTGCCTCCTACTCCTCTCATGCTCTCTCCCCTCCGCCCAATAAATCAATAAAATCTTAAAAAAAAAAAAAGAGTTCATGTGAAGTTTGGAAAACATAAGCGCCCCTATTTTCAAAGCAGATCAACTCTTTGTGAGTAGAGCATTAGAATTCAATGCAATAAAGCACTAATGTTTGGACCAATATTTATCAAAATAGGGGAGTGTTAGCCTTTGGTATGTTTTGGTGTATTCTTTGGGGTATCCAAATTCTGTAACCATTAAAAATGTTTAAATCAAGGGGTGCCTGGGCTGGCTCAGTTGATAGAGCATGTGACTCCTGATCTCAGGGTTGTAAGTTCGAGCCCCACGTTGAGCGTAGAACTTACTTTAAAAACAAAACAAAACAAAAGAAAGAATATTCTAAATCTTTGGATGACCATTTTATAATTCAGCACCACATGGGATTTTCAATGTTCCAGCTAATCTTCATGTTTACATTTAAGATATTGCCAAGTGCTGCCTTGGAAAGACAAAATTTATCTTTCAAGTGCTGGTAAACATATGCAGATGTTAAAATAACAACCATTATTTTGTGTCCCATTGTTAGCTCATTTAAACTTTTTTTATAGTTAGCAAAAACTAAATTCTTGTGGTATAATTTGTAAGTAAAAGACAATTTCACAGGGGCGCCTGGGTGGCTCAGTTGGTTGAGCGGCTGCCTTCGGCTCAGGTCATGATCCTGGAGTCCCAGGATCGAGTCCCGCATCGGGATCGAGTCCCGCATCGGGATCGAGTCCCGCATCGGGATCGAGTCCCGCATCGGGATCGAGTCCCGCATCGGGATCGAGTCCCGCATCGGGATCGAGTCCCGCATCGGGCCCCCTGCTCGGCAGGGAGTCTGCTTCTCCCCCTGACCCTCCCCCCTCTCATGTGCTCTCTCTCTCTCTCATTCTCTCTCAAATAAATAAATAAAATCTTAAAAAAAAAAAAGACATTTTCACAGAATAAGACTTTGTTCTAATTTAACAAACTAAGATTTTGATTTAACATTATAAAAACAACATACTACTTTAGAGTGCTGTACTGGTTCCATGTAAATGGTCTTATAATAAGCAGAGAGAGACTAAATAAATGATATTTGCAATAAAGGAAGATCAAGTAATGTCTTGATGTGAGCAACTGAAGCAAGCTCCAATAGAAATAACTGTGGGAGGGCGCCTGGGTGGCTCAGTCGTTAAGCGTCTGCCTTCGGCTCAGGTCATGATCCCAGTGTCTTGGGATGGAGCCCCGCATCAGGCTCCCTGCTCAGCGGGAAGCCTGCTTCTCCCTCTCCCACTCCCCCTGCTTGTGTTCCCTCTCTCGCTGTCTCTCTCTGTCAAATAAATAAATAAAATCTTAAAAAAGAAAGAAAAAAAAAACTGTGGGATTAGCGAAGTGACTAAAATCTGGGCTGTGGCGATCAGCATCTGACAGCAAGTGGATGTATTCTGTAGATCTGCCTTTATAGGCACCTGCTTGCCAACAGTTCGTTAATGCAACTGTTATAGTAACAAAAAGCTTCTCTTTAAATTGTTGTTTTCCAGATTTATGTTTTGGAATACTCTAGCAAATAGACTGCCCATCAAAATAATGGCTTAGTGGTTAAGAAGTTCACTGTTATTAAGGAAACATACTAATGATGAAGGCTAAATATAATGGTTCATTGTGCCAAAAAAATTTTTTTTACACTATCAACATCAACAAAAGCCATTTATTTTCAGTAAATGTAATTTGATGAAAATGGTTCATTTTAGTTATGTTGACTTTATACTTTTATTTTTACTTAATTGAAAAATTGGTTTTGATTTTACAAGCGCTATAAGCACGACTTCTGGGGTGCCTGGCTGGCTCAGTCAGTAAAGCATGGGACTCTCGATCTCAGGGTTGTGAGTTTGTGTCTCATGTTCGGTATAGAGATTACTTAAAAATAAAACCCTAAAAAAAAAAAGGATAAGTAGGTCTTAGTTTTATGCTGTGTATACTTAAGTTACACTGAAATAATTTTTTAAAAATATTTATTTATTTATTTGAGAGAGCGAGAATGAGAGAGAGAGAGAGAGTACATGAGAGAGGGGAGGGTCAGAGGGAGAAGCAGACTCCCTGACGAGCAGGGAGCCCGATGCGGGACTCGATCCCGGGACTCCAGGATCATGACCTGAGCCGAAGGCAGTCGCCCAACCAACTGAGCCACCCAGGCACCCTGAAATAATAATTTTAATCAACATTAGACATACAGATGACTAATATTTCTATATATTTCTCAGTTTGCAAAATGCCATTCTAGGAACTCAAACAGAGATATGTATGCCAGTGTTCACTGCAGCATTACTCACAATAACCAAAAGGCAGAAGCAAGCTGAGCTGGGCAGAGAAACAAAATGTGATATATAAATACAATGGAATATTAATTTAGCTATAAAAAGGCATTAATTTTTAAGTTCTGATACATGTTACAATACAGATCAACCTTGAAAACATTACGCTAAGTGAATAAGCCAGACACAAAATGACAAATATCACATGACCCTTCTTTTACAACATATCTTGAATTGTCAAATTCAGAGATAAAGAATGCAGGTTAGAGGTTACACCAGCGCTGGAGGAGGAGGGAATGGGGAGCTGCTGCTTAATGTGCAGAGTCCCTGTTTGGAGTGATGAAAAAAATTTGGAAATAGATCATAGTAATGGTTGTACAACACTGTGAATGCAATTAATGCCACCAAAGTGTACACTTAAAATATGGTTAAAATGGCAGATTTCATGCTATATATATTTTACCACAATAAAAAATGTTTTAAAAATGCAGTCAGAATGGCTAAAATTAACAAGTCAGGAAATGACAGATGTTGGCAAGGACACGGAAAAAGGGGAACCCTCCTACACTGTTGGTGGGAATGCAAGCTGGTGCAGCCACTCTAGAAAACAGTATGGAGGGTCCTCAAGAAGTTAAAAATAGAACTACCCTACCACCCAGCAATTGTGCTACTAGGTATTTACCCCAAAGATACAAATGTAGTGATCAGGAGAGGCACCTGCACCCCAATGTTTATAGCAGCAATGTCCACAATAGCCAAACTGTGGAAAGAGCCCAGATGTCCATCGACAGATGAATGGATAAAGAAGAAGTGGTATCTATATACAGTGGAATACTACTCAGCTATCAGAAATAAAAAGAAATCTTGCCATTTTTAACGACACGGATGGAACTAGAGGGTA